CTTGCTCAAATCCCACCTCCTTCTACACAGCTCTGTGGTAATCAAATAGCACAAAAAGAAAAAAAAATAACCCAATTAAAAATGGACGTAGGATTTGAATAAGCATTTCTTCAAAGAAGGTATATGAATGACCAATAAGCACATGGAAAGATGTTCAACATTGTTAGTCATCAGAGAAATGCAAATCAAAACTATAACGAGATATTACTTCACATCTACCGGGATGGCTATAATCAAAAACCAGAAAATAACAAGTGTTGGTGAGGATGCAAAGAAACTGCAACCCTCATACACTGCTGGTGGGAATGTAAAATGGTACAGTCACTTTGGAAACAGTACAGAAGTTCTTCAAAATATTAAACATAGAGTTACCATATGCCTCAAAAATTCTCACTTCTAGCTACCCAAGAGAATTGAAAACGTATCTTCATATGAAAACTTGGACACAAATGTTCATGGCAGCACTATTTATATTAGCCAAAAAGTGGAAACAGTGCAAATATCCATCAATTGATGAATGGTAAACAAAATGTGTTATACCCACATGATGGAATATTGTTCCACCATGAAAAGGAATGAAGTTCTGATACATGCTACCACATAGATGAACCTTGAGAAAATTATGCAACGTGAAAAAAGCCAGACACAAAAGGCCATATATTGCATGATTCCACTTATATGAAACATTCAGAATAGGCAAATCCACAGAGACAGAAAGTAGATTAGTGGTTGCAAGGGGCTGGGGGAAGACGGAATGGAGAGTGACTGTTAATGGGTATGAGGTTTCCTTTGGGGGTAATAAAAATGTTCTGGAATTATACAGAGGTGATGATTATTCAACTTTGTGAATACACTAAAAACCACTGAATTTCATCTTTCAAAGAGTGAACTTTGTGATATGTAAATTTATCTCAATAAAGCAGTTATGAAAGGAAGAAAGTAGGTGTATATGTGTAAATGTTCTGACTTGTGGAAAAGTGTGGGGAGAGGAAGGTATGATGGTGCAAGAACCAAACCTGGGGATGAAGAGCCAACTTCACCCTTACTGCTCTGTGACTTTGTAAAAATCCACTTACTCTTTTGATTCTTGGTTTCTTCATTTGAAAATTAGGGAAAATATCCCCCTCAAAGTGATTTTATATGGGTCAGAGACGATCTTATAACCTACAAATTGCTATTTAAATGTCAGCTCTAACCCTAAAGTCTTGAATTTTTCTCTGAAATGGTAATTCTCTTTCCATAAAATTTGAGCTCAAGAGTGTCCTTTGCAGATTCTGGTCCTTCCCCTGGCCCTCAGTACTTAACAGAGTGTTCAGCATAGTGACTTAGACTTACTTAACAATTGAGCAGCAGTGTGGGCCTAGGACTATAAACATAAATAAGATTTACTTGTGTCTTCAGGAAGGTCAGTCAAGTGGGGTGGGAGTAGGAGACAGATATCTAAACTTGTAAGTATAATGCATGTGCATGTAATTACAGTGAGATGAGCAGGTGATCATGCGTACACATCCACCCTTTTCAACAAGTATCTCCTGGAGAAAAAAGATGAAGATTTGTTGGTTGGGAATTTGTGTCTCCCACCATTGGATCCTGCATGCTTCCAATAGGAGGACAGGGTTGAACATGTTTCAAAAAGATTTCTAAAGATTTATGATGTTGGTTATTTAAGGAAATAAAAATATCACTAACAGAACAGTATGGAGGTTCCTTAAAAAATTAAAAATAGAATTACCATATGACCCAGCAATCCCACTACTGGGCATATACCCTGAGAAAACCATAATTCAAAAAGACACATTGCACCCCAATGTTCATTGCAGCACTATTTACAATAGCCAGGTCGTGGAAGCAACCTAAATGCCTATCAACAGACGAATGGATAAAGAAGATGTGGTACATATATACAATGGAATATTACTCAACCATGAAAAGGAATGAAACTGGGTCATTTATAGAGATGTGGATGGACCTAGAGACTGTCATACAGAGTGAAGTAAGTCAGAAAGAGAAAAACAAATATCGTATATTAACGCATATATGTGGAATCTAGAAAAATGGTACAGATGAACCGGTTTGCAGGGCAGGGGCAGAGACACGGATGTAGAGAACAAACGTATGGACACCAAAGGGGGAAAGCGGGGTTGGGGGGTGGTGGTGGGATGAATTGGGAGATAGGGATTAACATATATACACTGATATGTATAGAATAGATAACTGATAAGAACCTACTGTATAAATAAATAAAATTCAAAAAAAAATTCTTTTCCAATGGAAATTCTATTCCTGAAACACTCACCAAAATAATAATAGAAAGGATCTTCACCAACCTGATTAAGGCATCCACAAATAACCTACAGGTAACATAACTGTTATTGTTGAAACTCTTCCATTTTGATGGATTTGCAGTTTCTCTTTGTAGTATTTATCCTTGTTTGATAAAGTCAGCTATATTGAGGTGAAATTTACATACAATAAAATTCACCCATTTTAAGCATACATTTCAAAGTATTTTTTAAAATATGGTCACAAAGCCATCACTACAAGCATGATATAGACATCCCCTCTGCCTCTATGCAGAAAATCCTGTCTTCACATCCACCACCTGCTCCAGTCTCTGGAAAGCACTAATATTCAGTCACTATAGATTTTCCTTTTCTAGAATTTCATAGAAATGGAATTCTACAACACACATTATTTTGTGCCTGGCTTATTTTACTTAGTATAATGCTTTTCACATTCACCCCAAATTTTGTGTGCATCTGTGGGTAGCTATTTTTTAATGCTAAGCTGTATTCCACTTTATGGGTGAATCACATTTGTTTATCCATCCACCAGTTGAGGTTTGGGTAGTTTCTAGTTTGGAGCTATTATGAATAAAGCTGTAATTATTATTTGTATAAGTCTCTGTATGGACATATATTTTATTTCTTTGAGGGAAATACCTAGAAAGGGGTATTGCTAAGTCACATAGTTGAAGTGTGTGTTTAACTTAAAAAGAAAAAAAAGTCAGATTTCCAAAAGGCCTGTTGCATTTTTATTCCTACTAGAAGTGTATGAGTCCTAGTCGTTATACCTCCTAGCCAACCCTTGCATTTTATTATCTGCTGAGGTTTTAATCTGCATTTTCTAAATAACTAATGATTAGCATCTTTTATGCCTAGTTGTCATCTGTATATCTTCTTTAGTGAAGATATACTTCACTTCTTTAGTGAAGTGTTTGTTAGAATATTTTGACTATTAGGTTATTTGTTCTCTTATTGAGTGATTTAAAATCTTTTTATAATGTGAACACAAGTCTTTTACTAGATACGTGTTTTGTAAATCTATTCTCCTAGTGTGTGGCTTATGTTTTCATTTATTTGAGAGTGCCTTTTTTTTTTTTTTTTTTTTTTTTGCAGTACGTGGGCCTCTCACTGTTGTGGCCTCTCCCGTTGCGGAGCACAGGCTCTGGACGCGCAGGCTCAGCGGCCATGGCTCACAGGCCTAGCCGCTCCGCGGCATGTGGGATCTTCCCGGACCGGGGCACGAACCCGTGTCCCCTGCATCGGCAGGCGGACTCTCAACCACTGTGCCACCAGGGAAGCCCTGAGAGTGCTTTTAAAGAGCTTTTTTTTTTTAATTTTGAAGAAGTCTACAAAAATTATCAATGTTTTCTTTTATGGTTTGTGGTTTTTGTGTAAGAAATGTTTGTCTAACCAAAGGCTTCAAAAAAATTAGGTAACTGCTTTGTTTACAAATTAGATATATTAAAATAACGATTGTGTAAAAAAAATATATCACTAACATATGATTGCTAATAGAATGGGAACTTGAAAAATATATTTCTGCAGTGAGGGGCCATTCTTAGCTCACCCTCTTTCCTGGTAAACTTTTGATTATTTTGTCTTTAAAATCCTAATAAAAACATCATGTAATTCCCTCCAACACCATGTTCAAAGCAAAGCAACAGTGAGAGGATCAGCCCATGAATTTTCTAAGTTATTTATAGGGCTAAAGCCCCACAAGGGAGGCATTAGATGCATCCACTTCTATTAGATCATATGTTGTTCATAATGGGTTCCTGGAAATCCAGTTGTCTTTTCCTAGGACCCCAGGATGTTATGACCAAAAACATATATTTCAAAACCTCTCCACCTCCAAGCCCTGCTCAAAAGAAGTTTGCTGCAGCTTTCAGTTGTTAATATTGAAATATTTCCACTGATGATCATTTGGCGTAGCAAGCTTCAAAACCTTGGTATTTGGAATAGTTCGCTAATGTTTTCTTAAATTACATCCTCTTGTGGGTCCATAAAATCCCAAAGTTATTACAAATAAATAAATGGAGTTTCTCTTCAGGATGTAAACCAGCTTTCAATGAAGTCATTGAGGGGAAGTTTGGTTTGGATGAAAGAAGCACCTACCCGGGGCAAGTGCTGCTTTCCACTCACTGGGGGCTGGAGACTCGGTCAGCAGCTGCTCTCAGGCAACTGAATGGAGCAACCCCCCGCTGCTTCATTTCTTGTTTTAACTTCCAACGGGAAACTCAATATTTTAAAATGCTCCTTTTTCCTCAAGTCCTCTGCATGTGGTGACCAGGGCCTCGGAGGCAGGTGAAGAGAGAAGCTGTGTTGGTGCTCATTGACCATATCCCTACCCCGTCTCAGACTGAGCTAGAGGTCCTGGGGCAATCCTACAGCACGCTGGCATCCCCAGTGCTGGCGAGCCTTGCCCTAAGTCCCAAGGTTGCAGCCTTCCCCAGGCACAATGGGAAATATTTAATTCAGGGTGAAAGGAAGGGGGGATGCAGAGGCTGGATCCTTGGAGAGCAGCAGGCCCTGCAGGCCTTGTCGTGCATGTACTTCTGGGGCACATCCTGGGAGGGAGCAGTTCTCGTGGACCCACCTCATGAGAGCAGCCTCCTGGATACCTGCAGCCATCCCACCCTTCACTGTGTCATGGCTCCAGGGTACATACAAGGCAGAGTGTGACCCACAGTTGGTGTGGAAGTAATTACTACTCACATACACAGTGTGGGTCTCCCAGCCCTCCTTGGATGGACAACTTCCTTTTCTGCTTCTGCTTTCCCCTGTGTTCAGAGTCATAGAGAAATATACTTTTAAAATAATAATACAAGAGGGTTCCAGCTTAAGATGGTGACATACGAAGATCCTGAACTCACCTCCTCCCACAGACACACTGAATCTACAGATACATATGGAACAATTTCCTCTGAAAAAAACTTAAAAACTGATGGAGCCACCCTTTCACATTGGGCACATGAGAGGGAAACCACATCAAAGTGGGTAGAAAAGGCTAAGACACAATCTCTCCTAAACCTCACACCTGGTGTGGCATCCCAAAATCGGGAGGGAACTTAAAACCCAGAGCTTCTCCCTGAGGAGCAAAGGGTTTATACCCTACATTGGGCACCCCAGGTTTTAAGGCCAGCACCTGAGATACGAGCTCCCAGAACATCTGGCTTTGAAAACCAACGGGGCTCATGGCCTTGGGACTCACGGGGCTGTGGCAAACTGAAGAACATCTCTTGAGTGGCTCGTGTGCGGACTTACCTGGCTCAGGGCCTATTGCAGAAGCAGCCCTTTGAAAAGCACCCAGACTTTATGTGAGAGATTCATTTCCTAATTTTAAAGTGCTGGTCTGAGGGGCAGGGATCTGTTGGAATACTCTCCTGGGATGGAGACTGGGTGCCATCTTTCTGTTCTCCCTCTGACTTGCTAAAGCCAGCAGGCACCATCTTTTTTTTTTTTTTCCTCTTTCTTCCTTTTTCTCCTTATTTTTCTTCTTTTTCTTTTTTCCCCACTTTTTGCAGGTAGTGCCATCTTTGTACTCCCCCTCTGCCTTGCTCCAACCGGTGGGCACCATCTTTGCACTTTCTCTGCCACTCAAGTGCCAGCATCTCCTAGAGGGGAGCTTCCACACATGTCTGGTGCCCCAGTTTCTACATCTGGTGATCTGGGTTTTGTGGCTGCCACCCAGAGGATGCCTCTTAATCACCTGGCTCTGGAGGCCAGAGGGGCTTGAGTTCCTCGGTCCCATGGCATTCTAAAAACTGGAGAGACAGCTCTCGTAGGCTACCACTCCTAGGGCACTGCATAGACAGCAAACTGAAACACACCCCTGTCTTTCTGAGAAAGAGGTCTGTTTGCTTGTCCAGGAGCTTTGACCTGAGGGACAGGTTTCAGGGCTGGCACACTCCTAGGGGCTCACAGAAGGGATCTCTGGGAACAGAGACTGGTGAATGCAACCTTTGCAATCTCCGTCCACCTCACTCCAGCTTGCTGGTATCTTACAAACAGGAACTTACACTTTTTCTGGTTGCCTTGATCTTTGCAGTTGCTGCTAGGCTCTGGTGGACAGTGGCTTATGCTCCCAGGTCCTATAGGACTGTAACCAGAAAGAGAGTTCTTAAACAGCTACCATCCCAGGACACAGAAAGAGGCAACAGACCCAGGAGCTCAATCTTTCTCAAAAGAGGCCAATTAGCTTATCATCATGGCTGTACCCTGAAAGGCAGGCTTCTAATTAAACATACATCTAAGGGCTGACTGTAATCCTTTCCTGAGACCTCAGAGAGCAGGCACTATCTTCACGCTCTCCCTCTGCCATGCTCCAGAGTGCCAGCATCTCTCAGAGGGGAGCTCTTACATGTGTTTGGTTTTTATGTCTGGTGCCCTGTTTTTTGCAGTTACCGCCCAGGGGTTACCCCTTGATTGCCTGACTCTGGAGGCCAGGGCGCTTACTAGGTCCTGTGGGACTATAACAATCAGAGAGACAGTCCTTGGCAGGCGACTACCTCCAGGGCAATGCACAGACAGCACACTGAAACACGCGCACAGCATTTCCATGAAAGAGGTCTACCTGTTGCTCCTGGAGCAGCAGGCTGAGAGGCAGGCTTCAGGTTTGGCACATATCCAGAGGATGTGGAGGTGTTCTCAGGGAACGTAAGTTGGGCAATGCCATCTTTGCTCCCTCCTCCTGCCTCACTACAACTTACACTCTTCTGGAGCCCTAATTTTTGTGACTGCTGCCCAAGGGACACCTCTAGATCACCTGGCTCTGGGGGCCAACAGGGCTTAAGTTTGTAGTCCCACAGGACTGTATATATTTGCATTCTTTATTTACTTATTATTTTTTTTTGCGGTACATGGGCCTCTCACTGTTGTGGCCTCTCCCGTTGCGGAGCACAGGCTCCGGACGCGCAGGCTCAGTGGCCATGGCTCACAGGCCCAGCCGCTCCGCAGCATGTGGGATCTTCCCGGACCGGGGCACGAACCCTTGTCCCCTGCATCGGCAAGCGGACTCTCAACCACTGTGCCACCAGGGAAGCCCCTATTTGCATTCTTTAAAAGCTGTTGCCTGAGGGTCTGGCTTCCAATCAGCCTGAATCTAGGTGCTAACTGAGATCCTCCCTTTTGGGACACTAACTGGTCTTGGCAAACCCTCAACAACTGGGAGCTATTAAAAATAAAATAGGCTGTTTGGATGATCACAAAGGTTTGAGAGACAACCAAAAGCCAGGGCAAAGTTGAACAGTAAGTTTCATCTCTTACAGAAGGCCAGTCCTTCAAGATTGGGAGAAGTGGCTGTTTCATCTAATACAAAGAAACAAACACAAAGAGTCAAGCAAAATGAAGAAACAGAGAAATATGTTCCAAACAAAAAAATAAGATAAAACCTCAGGAAAAAAAAAAACCTGAATGAAACAAAGATAAGTAATTTCCCTGATAAGGAGTTCAAAGTAATGGTCATAAAGGTGCTCACCTCACTTGGGAGAAGAACGGATGAACACAGTGAGGACTTCAACAAAGAGAAAATACAAGAAAGTTCTGAACAGAAGTCACAAAATTGAAGAATACAATAACTAAACTGAAAAATACACTACAGGGGTTCAATAGTAGATGACGAAGCAGAGGAAAAGATCACTGAACTCAAAGATAGGGCAGGGGAACTCACCCAATCAGAGCAGCAAAAAGAAAAATAGAATTTTAAAAAATGAAGACGGTTTTAGGGACTTATAGGGCAACATCAAGCAGACTAACATTTGCATTATAGGAGTCCCAGAAGGAGAAGAGAAAAAAAAAAAGGCATAAAACTTATTTGAAGAAATAATGGCTGAAAACTTCCCTAACCTGGGGAAAGAAACAAAAATCCAGATCCAGGAATCCCAGAGAGTTATGAATAAGATGAACCCAAAGAGACCCACACCAAGATACATTATAACTAAAATGTTAAAAGTTAAAGACAAGGAGAGAATATTAAAAGTATCAAAAGAAGAACCATTTGTGACATACAAAGGAGTCCTCATAAGATGATCAGCAGATTTTTCAGCAGCAAGTTTTCAGGGCAGAAGGGAATGGCACAGTATATTCAAAGTGCTGAATGAAAAAACTTTTCCAGCCAAGAATTCTCTACCCAGCAGAGTTATCATTCAGAATTGAAGGAGGAATAAAAAAATTTCCAAACAAACAAAAGCTAAAGGAGTTCATTACTTTAAATGTAAATAGATTAAATTCTTCAATCAAAAAAACATAGGGTGGCTGGCTGGATGAAAAAACAAGATCCATCTATATGCTACCTATAAGAGACTCATTTCAGATATAAGGACATACACAGACTGAAAGTGAAAGGACAGAAAAAGATATTCCTTGCAAACTGAAAGCAAAAGAAAGCTGGGGTAACTATATTTGTAACGGACAAAATGGACTTTAAAGCAAAGACTATAAAGAAGGACATTACAAACTGATAAAGGAGTCAATTCAATAGGAACATACAACATTTGTAAATATTTATGCACACAATGTAGGAGCACCTAAACATACAAAGCAAATACTAACAGATCTAATGAAAGAAATAGACAGCAGTACAATAATAGTAGGGGGATTTAATACCCCACTTACATCAATGGATAGATCGTCCAGACAGAAAATCAATGAAGAAACATTGGTTTTCAATGACACATTAGACCAGATGGACTTAACAAATATATACAAAACATTTCATCCAAAAGCAATAGAATACACATGCTTCTCAAGTGCACATGGGACATTCTCTAGGATCGATCATATGTTAGACCAAAAAACAAGTCTTAACAAATTTAAGACTGAAATCAAATCAAAATCTTTTCTGACTACAATAAAACTAGAAATCAACTAAAACAAAAAAACTGGGAAATCCACAAATGCATGGAGACTAAATGACATGCTACTGAACAAGCAATGGGTCAAAGAAGAAATCTAAAGTGAAATAAAAAAATATCTTGAGACAAGTGAAAATGGAAATACAACATACCAAAATTTATGGAATGCAGCAAAAGCAGTTCTAAGAGGGAAGTACATAGTGATAAATGCCTACCTCAAGAAATAAGAAAAATCTCAAATAAACAACTTAACTTTACACCTCAAGGATCTAGAAAAGAAAAATGAAGCCCAAAGCTAAAATAAGGAAGGAAATAACAAAGATCAGAGAAGAAATAAATGAAAAAGAGACTAACAAGACAATAGAAGAGATCAATGAAACCAAGAGCATGTTTTAAAAAATCAATAAAATAGACAATCTTTTAGCTAGACTAACCAAGAAAAAAAGAGAAGGTATTCAAATAAATAAAATCATAAATGAAAGAGAAGACCTTACAACTGATATCACAGAAACACAATGGATCATAAGGGACTACTACAAATGATTATACACCAACAAACCGGACAGCCTAGAAGAAATGGGTAAATTCCTAGAAACACACAACCTTCCAAGACTGAATCATGAAGAAATAGAAAATCTGAACAGACCGACTGCTAGTAAGGACACTGAATCAGTAATTTTAAAATACCCCATAAACAAAAGTCTAGGACCAGATGGCTTCACTAGTGAATTCTACCAAACATTTAAAGAAGTAATACCAATTCTTCTTAAACTCTTCCAAAAAGTAGAAGAAAAGAAAACACTTCCAAACTCATTTTACAAGACCAGCATTACCCGGATACCAAAACCAGACAATGATATCACAAAAAAGAAAATTACAGGCTGATGAACAAAGATGCAAAAATCCTCAACAAAATATAAGCAAACCTAATTCAATGATACATTAAAAGGATCATACACAGTAATCAAGTGGGATTTATTCCAGGGATGTAAGGATGCTTCAACATCCACAAATCAATCAATGTGATACACCACATTAACAAAATGAAGGATAAAATTCATTGATCATCTCAATAGATGAAGAAAAAGCATATGACAAAATTCAGCAACCATTCATGATAAAAACTCTCAATAAAGTGTGTATGGAAGGAACATACCCTAACATAATAAAGGCCATCTATGACAAACCCACAGCCAACATCATACTCAATGGTGAAAAACTAAAAGCTATCTCTCTAAGATCAGGAATAAGAAAAGGATGCCCACTCTTGACAATTTTGTTCAACATAGTACTGAAAGTCTAGCCAGAGCAAATATAGAAGAGAAATAAAAGGCACTCAAATTGGAAAGGAAAAAGTAAAACTGTCACTATTTGTGGAAGACATGATTTTATATAAACAAAACCCTAAAGTCTCCACTAAAAAACTATTAGAAATAATAAATACAGTATCAGGATACAAAATCAATATACAGAAATCTGTTGCATTTCTATACACTAATAATTAACTAGCCTAAAGAGAAATTAGGAAAACTATCTCATTTTCGACTGCATCAAAAAGAATAAGATATTTAGGAATAAATTTAACCAGGAGGTAAAAGACCTATATGCTGAAAACTATAAGGTCCTGACAAAAGAAACTGAAGAAGATACAAGTAAATGAAAAATACTCGTGGACTGGAAGAATTAAAATTGTTAAAATGCCCATACTACCCAAAGCAGTCTACAGATTCAATGCAATACCTATCAAAATTTCAATGGCATTTTTCACAGAAATAGAACAAGCAATTCTAAAATTTCTATGCAACTACAAAAGACCCCAAATAGCTAAAGCAATCTTGAGAAAAAAGAACATAGCTGGAGGAGTCATGCTCCCTGATTTTGAACTATATTACAAAACTAAAGTAATCAAAACAGTATGGTACTGTCATAAAAAATAAACACATAGATCAATGGAACAGAATAGAGAGCCCAGAAATAAACCCATACACATATGGTCAATGAATTTATGACAAAGGAACCAAGAATATACAATGGGGAAGGCAGTCTCTTCAATAGATGGTGCTGGGGAAACAGGACAGTCACATGCAAAAGAACAAAACTGCATCACTATCGTACACCATACACAAAAATTAACTCAAAATGGATTAAAGATCTGAATGCAAGATCTGAAACCATAAAACTCCTAGTAAAAAACATAAGTGGTAAGCTCCTTGACATTGCTCTTGGCACTGATTTTTG